TACATTTTCATATTTGTAACGTTATCTAACTGACATTTTTTTTCTCTTATCATATCACAATTATTACTCTTTAAGGTCATTACAAAAATAAATTTACATATTCTTTTATCTATTAAAAAATGTGCATATCACACTTGATATGTATATTTTTCCAAAGATAAACGGCTTGTGTTGCGTAATTGTTTCAATGATGTCTGCCTTTCATAAAGAATATCTCCATATATGTGTAAATTAAATTGTTAATAAAAGATTGTTAATTCATTATTATAATATTTGTGTTTCTACAAGAATATTAATAAGCTGTACATGGTAAGAGTGCTCTATTAATTTTTCTTATTTCATGTAAAAATTAACATGTTAAGTAGTATTTCACAAAATCTTACTTTTAGAAGTATTTAAGTAATTAATATTTTAAGAATTTTTTTCTTATATTTGCATGCAACACACATTGTAAAATATTTTTTTAAATATATTAGAAATATTACAATCTATATTTTGTAATTATGTATCTTTTATCAGTCTTTATTATATATATATATCTGTTATAGGTAGCACGCATAAGGATTTTGCTTTTATAAAATGTGGGCACTTGCTGTGATATCATTTCCTTAGTAAATTTTTTATATCATTCGACTAAAAGTGCAATTCAGTTTATACCTTACTCATTTTAACAATGGCGAAAGTAGAAGAGTTCTTTAACAATGTTAAAAGGATACTGTTAAGGATTTATAAATATTTTCTACAATATATCCGTAAATGGTCCTGTGTAAAATGGGATAATGTAAGTTCTAACAAATATATATATACATATAATATTTGAAATTGCTGTAAAACCATATATGTATTATTACTATTGTCATACGATTAATTGGTGCCAGTGAAAGATCACTTGTCTGTACTTGCCAGATTTATTAGTTAGCAGAAGCAAGTCTCATGGCAGGAAGCAGTTGTCACATTACTGTGAGATTGTAATCCTAGCATGTAGGGTAAGAATAGCTGCAGTCACAGACATGGTTCTTTATGTATGCTCATAGAGCAGAACATGGTAATGTAATATTATGCACGCTTGCTAACTGCTTTATGCCAATAACTTATATTAAGGCCTATATTCTGCCAGCTAAGTACATATCCATTTTCTACGTTTGAGATGTAAGTATTATCCCTTTGGAAGGCAAGCTCTCTGCTGCTGGGCAAACAGAGGTCGGTTTGTTCCATACATTTGGCAAAACCATTCTATTCATTTCTTTCACAAGCTTCTATATTAGCACATATGTATATTTGTATAGTTTAAAAGTTTTTAAAATATATTATTTTATTCAACTTTAAAAAATATTTTGTGGAAAGTTGAATATTATGAATAAATCAGTTATTTATAACAAAATATCGTATCTGATTATGTAATACTTAAGATATATTAAATAACAACAAAAAAAGGAACTACGAGAACCGGATATTACAAATCAATAGGAAAGGATTGAAATCAACTGAAGATTGGAGACGTATGAAGTGGAATAAAACGGAGCGGATTCACCGGTAATTGTGATTTACATAAACAGCCACATATTTATGATCACAAATACCGATGAATGTTGTCTTAATTCGTTTCTAATTTATTGTCTATGTTTTATTAATTTAAGTTGATCTCAATCATCTTTCTTTTCAGGATACATTCCATCAAACTAGAGTGGGCCCAAAATAAGCTGAAACGTTTTTGTAGTTTTAGTCTGTATTGATTTGTAATATCTTTTGTGCTTTAACATTTGTTTTTTATTTTTACAGCACTTTTTTCTGTTATTATTATAAAATTATACGTCGCACAATTATTTATATGATGTAAGAGAGATAAAATACAAGCTATATTTTTATTTTATATCTAATAGAAATTTTCTTATGATTTCAGAAAATAGTTGAAAATATGTACCTACGTCAAGCTCCATTAACGAAGAGCCATGAGCAAATAAGAGTTCTAACTTTGAATCATGGAGAACATCTAGATGGGATATTATATAGATTGAAGAAAGGTTTTTAAAGATTTCTTTCCTTCTAAAATCATACTGTTTATAACTTTTCTGAACTGTATTTCAACTGTTTTCTTTGTCATAGAATATTTTTACTTTAAATGATCTTGTAATTCTCACAGGATGGAAGGTTGAGTTTAGGCTTGGGGCTTCCCTTCTGGGGAAGTCGCTTAGTGTTTTCACAAACCATCCATTGTCGGCTGATAAACAATTCGAGAGGCATACTTACTATCAATTGCAATGGGTTGACGAATCGGCGAGCATACATTTAACTTTACCTGGTTCATTCCATTATTATGTCACTGATCAGTAAGTGTAAATTGCTATATATTTCTTAGATCTTACATTCCTTAATAACAACATACATACATTTTGCAGAGTCGTAGGGAATATAAAATTTGTCGCATCTGGATACTTGCTGGTGGACCCCGAATTGAAAATTGGTGAAAATGGGAAGAATCTACCGTTGGATTGCATCCAAGTTCAAACAGTTTTGGCAAAGTGTTTAGGACCTTTTTCTACGTGGGAAGATAAATTACTGGTGGCACGAAATTCTGGATACAACACGATTCACTTTACACCAATACAGGTGATGTTAACATAAATAATTTATAACGCGCTCTAATATACACAAGCTTAATATGTAATTAATATTTTAGGAATTAGGAAACTCTAAGTCGTCCTACAGCTTGAAGAATCAAACAAAACTCAATCCTATTTTTAACGAGGACGACAAATTGATCACATATCAGGACATTGAGAATTTTGTAAATAAAATGCGAACTGAATGGGAGGTAAGTTATTAGCGTTTATCAAGAACAAAACACATCATTGAAATATGTGTCATTCTACGAATTCGCGCGTTGCAGGTGTTGAGCATCTGCGATATTGTCCTGAATCATACAGCGAACGAGAGTCCTTTTCTGGTTTCTCATCCAGAGATCACGTACAATTGCATCAATAGTCCTCATTTGCGTCCGGCATATCTTCTGGATGCAGTGCTGTTGGAATTGACAACACAAGTGGCTGCTGGCGAGTGGGAATTCAAAGGCATTCCCGTTGTAGTTGAGACTGAAGATCATCTGAATGTAAGCTATTTAAAAGCTTGAAATTTTTCTTCGTGCGTTGTCATTAAATATCAATTTGATCAAAATTTTGCTTTTTATTCTGCTCAACTTAATTTGTCTAGCATTTATTGCACGCATTTTACTTCCAGGCAATTCGTCATGCTCTGCACACACATTTCTTGCCTCTCGTGAAAATACACGAGATGTACACCGTCGATGTCAACGAAATTATAACGGGGTTCTTGAGCTTGGCGCGCGACGGAGTGCCACAAGAAGTGAACAATACGACAGCCGAAAATATTTCAGTGATTCAAGATCCCGACTTTCGTAAATTGAAGTCAACCATAAATATGCAGCTTGCGCTGAAGAAATATAATACGTACAGGTGAAATAGATAATAAAGAGCCGGATATTTTATCTCACATCAGAATGCTTATTCGTAATCATTGTATTTCACGCAGGGCTGATTGTTTCGATGAGGAGACTCGCTTGAAGCGGTGTGCGGAGGACTTGAAGAATAAATTGCAAGAACTCAACGAAGCGATTACCAACGACGTGCAAAATCATCTAAATGCTGCCGTTGAAAATTCCATTGCTGGCATACGATACTTCCGGGTGCAATCAGATGGACCGAGAATTAAGGACGTCAGCGAAAAGAATCCTCTTGTTCCCAGGTAATTTCACTCGTGTGTCCACATATAGCATTTTGTAACATTGTTACATTCTTCGTGATAACAAATTTACAGATATTTCACTGATTCCGGAGCGGCCTGCTCTTTACGGGACCGAGAAAATACGATGTACTCGGATAACGCGTGTTATCTCATGGCTCACAATGGCTGGGTGATGAATGGCGATCCTTTGAAGAACTTTGCGGAGCCCGATTCTAACGTCTACATTCGAAGAGAACTCATCGCGTGGGGAGATAGCGTAAAACTCAGGTAAAAGTTCTTCCAAGCATGTTGTTCAAGTTGCATGAATCATTATGCGATGTCAAACTCACGATAACAATTGTTACAGATATGGGCAGAAACCAGAAGATTGTCCTTTCTTGTGGCAGCACATGGCGACTTACGTGGAGCAAACGGCGCAGATATTCGACGGCGTCCGATTAGACAATTGTCATTCCACACCGATCCCCGTCGCTGAGGTATGCCGCGATTTTAAGCGATCGTGACAACAGAACGTTTACTAAATAGTATAATTTTCTCTTTGCAGTACATGCTTGATGTTGCACGACGAGTCCGTCCGAATCTCTATGTTGTTGCAGAATTGTTCACCAACTCCGATCAGAAAGATAACATTTTTGTCAATCGTCTCGGCATTACTTCTTTAATCAGAGGTTGTTATTCATTTGCATAAGATAATATATAATTACAAATTACTATTTTTTTTAAATCTGAGGAATCTTTACGTATCAATATGTGTGCTATTATTTCCAAACTATTTAATTTATATAATATTTTTTAAACACAACTACTGGACATGTATATTAGAAATAAGTAAAAAGATACATTTAAAACCTGCACGTTGCAGAAGCAATGTCCGCATGGGACAGCCACGAGGAAGGGCGACTGGTGTATCGATACGGAGGTGAACCAGTTGGAGCATTCATGCAGCCACGAAAACGGCCGTTAGCACCGAGCATAGCTCACGCTTTGTTCCTGGATGTGACCCACGATAATCCTAGTCCGGTGGAGAAACGAAGTACCTTCGATTTACTCCCGAGCGCCGCGCTTGTATCCATGGCGTGCTGTGCCAGCGGCAGCAATCGCGGTTACGACGAATTAGTGCCTCACCATGTAAGCTCGCGGTGCAAACTTAAATTTCTACACAATTTTACCATGAAAAATTTCAATTCGTGACATCTTATGAGAGTTTATTTTTTTTTTTCAGATACATGTAGTGGACGAGGAAAGACAATATACCTTGTGGACAAATGACGACGATTTGGTCGACGACGTTAAGTTTGTTAACTTCAAGACTGGTATAATTGCAGCTAAAAAGGCGTTGAACGACCTACACTACACGCTTGGCCAGCAGGAATTTTCACAGGTATGTTATAAGTTGCTTGTATTTTGTAGTGAAGAATTACATAGCTATTAGTAAAGTTTATTTTTCTGCTTCACAGGTATTCGTTGATCAGATGGACAGCGACATAGTGGCTATAACGAGACACTCGCCGACCAGTCACGAGAGCGTAGTTCTCGTTGCGTTCACGGCGTTCAACCATCCGGATTCCAACGCTCACGATCTGAGAAGACACGTAAGACCCTTGCGAGTGGAGGGCGTGGTGGAGGAAATTATCTTGGAAGCGTCGTTCACACACGTCGATGCAAAGTGAGTAGTGATCTTTTCTTCGAGACAGAAAGATTTACATAATTATTAATCGATGTAAAATCGCTTCGCAGAAATGGCATATCACCTTTCTCCTTACCTCAGAAGTTTGCCGAGGACGAAAGTTTCATAAATGGATTGGCCGAGTACACGTTAGATCTCAAACAGCACATACAATGCTGCGATTCTACGATAGTCGAGAAGGTCGATTCCGGCGACCCCAAGATCACGCAGCTCAATTTCGTGAATTTCCAACCCGGCTCTGTTATTGCCATACGGTACAAACTGCAAATTTCTTATCTCTGTCGATCCGTAAAATCTGAGCTAACTTGCGTACGAATTTAATTTCAGAGTGGCCCTCCACGCGAATATAAAACCCGCTTTGCTGAAGCTACAAGATACTATTTCGCAGATCACTTCGGGCGAGAAGTCAAGTTTACACGACGCAATTTTCCGTTTGGACTTCTCAGATTTGAACAAAGCTTTGTATAGATGTGACGCGGAGGAACGAGAGGAAACATCGAACAAATTTGGAGTCTATGACGTACCGGGATACGGGCCTTTGGTATACGCCGGATTGCAAGGTATTGCATCGCAATATATTCGGTCGTGTGTGAAATATATAAAGCATTGTAGAATTTTTGACGACTGTTAACTGTTTCAACAATTGCTTTGTTTTAAAACAGGTATAATATCCGTATTGGCTGACATTCGTTCGAATAACGATCTGGGACATCCTTTGTGTGCCAATCTTAGACAGGGCAACTGGCTGATAGGTAAAACATCAGAAATTATTTCCGATTTCAATAAATAATTCTAGATAGCGTGCGATCATAACGGTTAAAATTTACAGATTACGTGTGGCAACGTTTGAACGAAGATGACGGCACTAAACCCCTTGCGACGTGGCTTGAGCAAGCAACGGAACCGTTGAAAATAATCCCGAGATATTTAGTGCCGAGTTACTTCGATGTCATCGTCACGAATGTTTATACAAATCTCCTCGATCATTGCTACAGTTTAATGTCGAAGTAAGTATCAAGCTAAAACATTTTTATTCGTCAAGAATATTCGTTAGAATATGCAACAATTAATCCCGTTTTTGTGTTTTTTATTATCCGCTAATTATATTATCATTGCAGCTTTGTGAAAGATGGAACTACATTCGTAAAATTACTGAGTCTGGTCTCGGTACAAGTGGGCGGTGTAGTGAGATCGGCGCAGTTGCCAGATTTGTCGCCGAGTCTCAATCCACCTAAGCCAAAGATTAAAGTCTGCGACGGAGAAAACAAGCAAGTGTGTTTAACGCTATCGGCGGGTCTGCCACATTTCACGACAGGTTACATGAGAAACTGGGGTAGAGATACTTTCATCGCTCTGAGAGGATTGTTGTTCCTAACGGACAGATACGACGAAGCAAGATTCATAATTCTTGGATTTGCCGGAACCCTGCGACACGGCCTGATACCCAATTTACTCGATAAAGGAGGCAATGCGAGGTGCGCTTTTAAAATACTTATGAAATAATATATTAGAAAATACATTCAATCTGATTTCTTGTTTTATCCTGTAGATACAATTGCCGTGACGCTGTATGGTGGTGGCTCTACACCATAAAATGTTACGTCGAGGAAGCCCCGAACGGTTTGAACATCCTGTCCGATAAAGTCTCAAGATTGTTCCCGACCGACGATTCGCCAGCTCTGCCAGCTGGAGAACACGTATGTCGTATACAGTAATTATTTCAACGATTAGAATCGCGTATGCATAAAAATGATTTCAGGATCAACCATTGCACGAGGTGATCCAGGAAGCTCTCACGGTACACTTCCAAGGTCTCTGCTTCCGAGAGAGAAACGCCGGGAAACAAATCGACGAGCACATGACCGAGCGCGGGTTCAACAATCAAATCGGCGTTCACCCGGAAACCGGCTTCGTATTCGGCGGCAACGACGCCAACTGCGGCACCTGGATGGACAAGATGGGATCCTCTGAGAAAGCCGGCAACAAGGGCAAGCCAGCCACGCCCAGAGACGGCTCCGCCGTGGAGATAGTCGGGCTGAGCAAGTGCATCCTCAGCTTTCTCGCCGAATTGTACAAGCAAAATCTCTTCCCGCACGGCAGCGTTCAGCGTAAAAGTCGCGACGGTAAGACGGTCGAAAATCCATCATAAATACGATCGTATAATTCTGATTATATAACTCGTGTGAATTATAGGACAAACGATAACCTGGAGTTATATGCAGTGGGCTGACAAAATTCAGACAAACTTCGAGAAATACTTTTACGTGAATGAGGTCGCCACGAAAGACGAGTTGAGGCCTGATTTGATCCACCGGCGAGGTATAATCAAGGATAGTCACGGAGCGTCGCAGGAATGGGCGGATTATCAATTGCGGCCTAACTTCTCCATTGCTATGGTTGCTGTGAGTATTACAACTGTCATTTAAAAATATTTGGCGAAAGAATGGTATCTTCTGTACAATAGATTCTACTATAATAATACTACAATTAATAGCAGCCTAATTTGTTCAACTGTTGAAAATATTCTGCAAAGAGAAGAGTATTTTTTTAATAAAAAAAATGTATAATAGAGTAATAATCTAAACAGGCTCCGGAATTGTTCGATCCTCATCACGCTTGGACTGCGTTGAAAAAAGCGGAAGAGATACTGCTAGGCCCGCTAGGAATGAAGACGTTGGACCCTGCAGATTGGGCGTACAACGGTGACTATGATAATTCCAACGACAGCACCGATACGAAACTAGCACAGGGATGGAATTATCATCAGGGGCCTGTAAATATTCTTCATCATATTTTTGTCTTGAAAACATATAAAAATTGACAAGAACTTACGTAATATATTCTAAAATACTTATTTCAATATTTTCTACTTTAATATTCTTTCTTTAGGAATGGATTTGGCCGATAGGATTCTTCCTGCGAGCTCGTTTGCACTTTGCACCATTAATCGGCAAGAAGGACGAATTGCGCCGTGTAGTCGAATCGACCGAAGCTATTATTTCACGGCACTTCATCGAAGCGTCTACTAATCACTGGAGAGGCCTACCCGAGCTTACTAACAAAGACGGAAATTATTGCAGGGATAGCTGTCGCACCCAAGCGTGGAGCGCTTCGGTTATCTTAGAGGTATGCGAATAAACTTGTAATATTTCTCGTGAACTAATGCAGTCGCAAGAAGCATCGCGCGTTGCTTATTAAAAGTATCGTTCACACAAAGTGATTTAATGTATGTCGCACAATTCAGGTACTCCACGACCTGCGGAAGATCAAACGAGAGTTACGTGCCGAGCAAATAAAGTCTGAGAATTGATATCACTTTGCGTGTGTTCACCACCGCCAGTTACACTTAGAGCAATTAAAGTTAGAGGCAAGTCACAGTAGTTCCGCAACGGACAATACGAGCGTACACCTTCCCACTGAAGCGATAGCGACACCGCGCACACCGGAAACACACGCATACCGTATCTCGCACGTAGACGTAACGGACACGCAAGCCCGCAGATCTGTAGTCGCCGCTGACAT